TATACGGGCTATTACAAGGATTTAGTATAAGGGCCTCAATAAGTAGAGTAGGGTTCCTTTAAGGGTTCCTTTGACAGTGGTATATAAGGATCACTATAAGGGCTACTACAAGCGTTTCAATGTAGGGGCCAGCCGGCTTTCAAGGCTTGGGGTTTTCGCGGTGGGTTTTAGGTTAGAGGCTTTAGGGTTTCAGGTTGGAGGTTTTGGGGTTTAGGTTTTCAGTGCGTTGGGCTTGGGAGCTGAGGTTGAGGGGTGCTTCGTGCGTTGAGTTCAGGCTATGGGGGGGATGTCTTACAGTGGCAGGACCGACCGGGGTACGGGAAGGATGCGGGTGCACGTCTTGGGTCAAGTTGATCACAAACGAACCGGGTTCCAACACCGTAAACCCTAAACGCCAAGCCGGTGAGAAGTGGATCTAGGCATTGGCGCTTCTGACTTGGTCCCTTCGTGCTCTGATCGACTGGCGTAGTCCGAGTCCCACCGCCGCAACTCGCGTCATAAGCTCAATCCCGAACTCCTGAAGCCGCCAAGACCTCAACCCCGAAAGCCAGAAGCCCCAGGGCATATGAGCTTGCGGCAAGCTTAGACCAGATTTGGGGTTTAAGGACTCATGGGTTTAGGGCTTGCGGGGCCAGGGCTCTAGATGATCCTGAACCCCAAACCCGGAACCTTAAACCCCAAATCCTGAACCCTAGCCCTAAACCCTAAATCCTAAACCCCAAATCCTAAACCCTAAACCCTCGGGTTCAGATGCGGAAGATCCGAACCTTGGATGCCCAAAAGGCGAACCCTTCAACACCCGAGATCCCAGTCCCAATTCCGCTGATGTAGGCGGTTGTAGGGTTTAGGGTTTAGTTTAGGGTTTAGGGTAGGGGCCGTAATCATTTCAATAGGGTTTTGGGCTCCGCTGTAGTTTAAATACCTTGGCAAGTATCTGGGCCTCTATATTGCTTTAGACCTAAACCCAGCACCTTCAACCCCAAACCCCAACAGCCGAAATCCAGTACCCGGCCTACACCCTAATCAGGCCTCAAAACTCAGCAATCGTCATAGCAACCTGCACACTAGCAAAAAACAAGAATCCTACTAATATAGGTATCTTAATAATTAGGCTAGGGTTTGGGGGTACATTATACTTAGACCCCTATACTAGGAGTGCTCAAATGAATCCCAAACTCGAAATATAATCGAAGCCTTCTAGGAGCCCACACTGAAACCCCGAAACACCAAACCTAAGCTTAAGCCCTCAACCCTAAACCCTTAAAAGGGCCCCTGGGTGCATCTCAAAAGCCAGTCCTCCTCAGGCATCTTCTCGAAAGCCTCTGCAATCTGCTCCTGCTTAACATAAGTTTGGAAGGCTTTGTGCTTCGGGGCTTTAGGGTTTAGGGGTTTAGGGTTTGGAGGTTCAGGGTTTCGGAGTTTAGGGTTTAGGGTTCAGGATTTGAGGTTTTAGAGTTGAGGGCTGAGGGCTTGGGGGTTTTAGGGTTGTAAGGAGTTGGGGTCGTACGGCTTAGGGCCTAAGGTGGGGGAGATCCATGGTTGAGGTTTTTAGGATCTAGTCACGTTTTAGGGTTTAGGGTTTAGGGTTTAGGGTTTGGGGTTTAGGGTTTAGGGTTTAGGGTTTAGGGTTTAGGGTTTAGGGTTTGGGGTTTAGGGTTTAGGGTTTAGGGAGTTTAGGGTTGTATAGTCTAGCTTGGCCTGGGCAAAGCTCCTGGGTCGAAAGTTGAGGGGCTTTAGGGTTTGAGGTTTTGGGGTTGAACCCTAACCCTTGAACCTGGGTTTGGAGTACCATACTTGAATAGTTTGTTGAGCACCCGGGGGGTGAGGATTATGGGAGTTTCAGGTCTTGGCTGAGACTTTCTAGGCAAGAGATATTAGGAAGCTCATGGGTAGCTGGTATTTACATACTCGGCCGGAACTGTGTGCATTCAGACACACCGGGCTGGCTGCGTGGACCGACTTGCAGATCCGGGAAGGAGGTTAGAAACACCCAAATCGGGCTCGTCGTACTTACCAGCTCACTGATAACCGACTACCTAAATCCCTGAACCCCAAAGCCTACACCCTCGTCACGCCCTGACCCTAAACCCTAAACTGTGATGTTCAAGGCAAGAAGCCGATCCAACTCCCTCAGAAGCCGACTCCGAGCCACCCCTCGAGACCCTAAGCTTTCGGTCTTTAAAGTTGAGGGTTCAGGGCCTAGTTACCAGTGCATAGGCTCATGCTTCAGTAGGCTGGGTCAAGTGCACGAAACACCTGAGACTGCACACAACCCTTGGGAACCAAGAAACTAACCGGAGCAAACCAGCGCCGTACAAGATTCTTGCCTGAAATCCGAAGCACCCCATGCCTTCATCCTTGAAGTAGTCCTTATGCATTGCCAAATCCCTGCATCCATACACTTACCAAATCCTGTTCCCAGTCTATGGCCTGAGAAGCATTTTGGAGTTGCTCCGAGATTGATGCGCCGGAACCCATGCTGTAACCTCGGTTCGTGGGACCACAACATAGATTCTCGAGTAAATCTTTGGGGGTCGTACATCAAGCAGCTGCAAAAGTCGTGCTTGGGGCTTGAAGGCTCCACTGCTTGTTCGCCTTCTTTATCATCCGCGGCATCATCCATCACCGTCATCGTCATCATCATCATCATCACCATCATCATCACCATCATCAGCTTCATCAACAGCAGCATCATCATCGTCATCACCATCGTCGTCATCATCATCACCATCATCGCCATCATCACGGCCCCCGACGTTACCAACATCCTCCCCTTCTTATCCACCACCATCATGAACAACGTCCTCCTCATCATCACAATCGTCTCCAACATGCTGCCACTTTGCTGCTCTCGTCCGGCTGTGTCTCGAGAGCAGCGACGCTTATAATGGCAGTCGAAAACAGCCATCACAACACGCAGCATCAGCCAAGAATACCCCAAACATCTGCGCGAAGCCTGACCCTAAACCCCTTCAACCTGGCACCTACACACACACACACACACACACTTGAACACCCAGTCTCGCTGGTTGCATGTTCACTCATGGTCAATTCCGACTCATCAGCGAGTTCAATGACTCCGATGAGAGAACTTCAAAGAAAGCGTTGCCGGTGGGGCTTCAATAGGCTCTGGTTTCCTTGCTGATGTTTACTAAAGAAGAAACAGCCAAGGGTCTTGAAGCATTGCACAGCGAGTATGTGAAGAATGTAGCATTGCACGGCTTGTACTGCAAAGGATGTCACAAACACACTGGCAGGTACGTGGATTGAGCGTCCTCAATCCATTTCACGACAAACTGGAAAGGTCTTCGTTGGACAGTGCCTTCCAGAATGTCCACTGTCCCCCTGCACGATCACTCTCTAGGTCTCAACCTGCAATTCTCACTTGCACTGTCCCGTAGTAGTTTGGGTTCCCCACACACACTGACCTCCGTTGGAGGGGCTGCGGACTCTTCTTTTTCATCGCTGCTGCCGTACTTCTTGGTCTGAAATTGTACGCACAAAGAGCACGGGCTTCAGGGTTGCCATGGATGTAACCGGGTCCCAGTCATGTAGTCGTCGGCGGTTTTGCTCGAAAAAGAACGCTGCAATCTCTGGTACTCTGCCGGTGATCTCTTTGATGCGGTAGGAAAAGATTTTCCGTGCTTGCAGTATGGTATCTCCAAGACAAAGCACCACGTGTAGGAACATATGTTTTTCTCTGGAGATTCGGTCAGGTGGAATTTCCACTGTCATTCGAAAGCATTGAGCCCGCGTAGAGTACCATGGAAGTCCAGCTTCTCCAGCTTTCCGCTTTGGCATGGCTGGCGTTACTACTAAGAAGCCTTAACTTACGGAACCAAAACGCAGAAAGGAAAGAAAAGTGATCGCTCATGCATGCCGAATAAGTGACTGAGTACTGCTTGTTGCTCGCTCATCTTTTTCTCGAACTCTGATCTGCTGCACATTTTAGTCTGTGTCATGAATCCAACATAGATGTCGTCCCTGTCGCTGATGATGTTCTTCGGAACTTTGCGAAAGCGATGTGTGGGAGCAGTACATGATGGCTAGCTCGGGGTTGCTGCGATGTTCTACTTCGCACTGTTGACAATTGCATGTGCAGTTGACGCCACCGAACATGTACCGTGACTCTCGCGCCACTTTCCTGATAATAAACTCCGCGAGCTCTAACAATTGCACCATACTGAGTTGATTGACGATGCTGTACAAGGTCTCGAGCTGCGAAGGGCCTGCTTGACGTGGTCCTTCCTCTAGGCGCTCTCCATCCCATGTGCGTCTCCCCCGGCGCATTTGTCGAGGTAGCGGACGGTGGGTCAAAGGCTCTTGCTTGAGATAAGTGGCTTACTACGCTCAAGGAATCAACACAAACTTGCCAGGGCACAGTGCAAACCTTAGTTGTAACCGCACAAAACGCAAACTTTTCTTGCTCACTTGGTCTAGCCGCATGCGTCTGCTCTTTAATCCGTGTGGAACCAGCAAAGATGTCGTCCATGCCATATGTGATTTTCTTCCGAACTCCGCGAGTATGACGCGTGAGCACATGTTTGGACGACGTAGCTGGGGTTGCAATAGCTGGCGGCTTCGCATTGTTGGCATGGAATGCAGCACCGAACTCCACCAAACATGAATCTGGTTGCGTTCCTCAATCTGCGCGCCACATACTCTGCCAACTCCAGCAGCTGTGAAATGCTGAGCTGGTTGACCACCTGGTACATGTTGTTGAGCTGGGCTGTCGGCACATCTGCGTGATGTTCAGCTTCGTCTGAGTAGCGCGCATCCCGGTCACGGAGCATTGCCGCTGTCACTGATCAAATAGTGATAGTTGGAGGGCTTTATGAGCTAGAGACACGGTAATCCAAAACAGCTAAGGCACAATCCTAAAGGCTGAAGAGACAAGGGACCGCCTAAAGTCGCAAAGCGTTGTGGAAACTTCTCTGTTTTCTGCATTCTCGTCCTGCTTCTGGCACCGAATTGTGTCCACAGCGTTGTGCTGAATTGAATTATGGGAGGTTGAAGCCAAGCATGCGAAGGTAGCGTTTGTCTTCTCTGCAAATGTCCTCGATGCGGTTGGTGGTGTAGGCCGAGATGATCAGGCGATCTGATTTCCATGGGCACGTGCCATGGAGCTTGAATGGACTGAACTCGATTCCGGGCAGTTTGACTTCAAGGTTGTGACCGCGATGTTGTCCATTTGGGGATAGGTCAGGTCCGTCGTCTTCTTCAACCCATAGGTGTCCTTGTCGGAAAGTCGAGACTGGAATCACAATGTTGAGGCTTCCTGGCTTGTTGTACTTGTCTCGGTGCGTACGCATGTGCACATTGCCGAGTAACGATACAGTCGAGAATGTAGTGTGGGTGCATGCTCGTACCAGGTATGCCATGAGTGCTGCCGTCCACGGTCTTTGCCTCGTGTTTGCGCGTACTCCGGTGCTGCCGGCATGGTAGAAAGCGCCGACTGTATATGCCGTTGTTCTTCTGCCTGCTTTGGTAAGTGCTGAAGCTCGGAGGAATTCGGAGTTGAGCTGGGTGGATAGCCTTGGGAAGAGCTCGAAGGGGATGTATCTTTGTTGGAGGAGTAGTTGGCATTCTTGCTCGACTGGATCATCTGTTGCTGTTGAACTTTCGGGTGCACTCATATCCAGTGGTAGTCCATGTGGTAATCTGACGATGTATTCTGCGGCCTCGGAGTCGGTATCGATGTCGGTGAGCTCTGCGGCGCTTGTGGCTCCATTGATACGTTGCTTTTTAGTCATATTAGCCCTAAGTCGTACCAACGCAAGGCTTGAACCAAAAAACTGAAGAAAAGTGTTGAAAGGGCTGAAAGAAACGAACAAAAGGCTAAGACGTTGCACTTGCTACTGCCTACCGGTCTCTGGCTCTGTTGAGTTTTCAGAAGGCGCGCATACCCTAAGTCACCGTAGAGGTCGTCCAGTTCTTGAATTTGTCTCTGGGCTACATCTTCCGGGTAGGCAATGGTGCGGATGAGATGCTTTCTGCTGTGATATCCGCTGAGGCGTAACTTTGTAGTTCCGGCTGACTGAGGGAGTCTGTATCTCCAAGGCTCGCGGTGGAGATTGTACGTGATTTTGCGATTGTCTGCGTGAATGCGAAGTCCCAGAAAATCGTCACACGCTTCGTCTTCAAGTTGTACTGGTTTCTTGTAGAAGTGCAGGGACGCAAGCTGCTGAATGAAGGGGTTGTGCTGAAGTTCGTCTTCATCAACTATAATGGCTCTGTTGTCGACGTACCTGCGGATCCAGAACTTGTCATGGAGGTGGGCGCTGCTGACAAATTGACCGTACATGCGTAGCCATGTGATTTCTGTGGCCACGATTGCGCACGTGGAGAGGATGGGGCTGATTTGGTTTCCCATCGACGTGCCGCATGTCTGTTGGAAGACTTCGCCAATGGCTGTGAAAGCACACGCGTCGAAGCTGAACTGAATGATGGCTGGTATGTGCTCTGCCTGCATCTTGACCATGTTGGACTTCAGGCTGTGCGTTGAGCGGCCTGAATGCGCTGGTGCGATCTTGTTGTACGGATCGACGGTGATGGTGGCGTTATGCTCGTCAAGGAACTGAGATGTGAGGAATTGGATGCTCTGCAGGATGTCGGATTGTGGTATCGAATTAAAGAAGCCGACCAGATCGTGGTTGAGAAATTTCAAGTGCCTCTCCGGGTACAGGTGCTCGTTGTTGTAGAAGAGTTGGTGTATTTCCTCCCATAGTTGTGGCGAGCTGACGTCGCCAAAATGGTTGGGCCATGTTATCCTCAACATCTGGTGTAATGCTAGCGCCGCGATCTTCAGCAGTTTGCCGATGCACGTATTGCTATACGCGATAATAGTCCTCCCTTTTGCCCACCTCTTTTTCCGTTTCATGAGGATATATCCATACGGAAGAGGCTTTTCGTAGTCAAGGAGCTTGGCGTAGTGCTTGGCGACGATCTTGGGAGTGTTGTTTTTCATGGCCTGCTTGATCTCGGCAGGGTCGGCATCTAGCATTCTGAATGTTTGTTTGTCCATCCAAGTGTTGTAGGCTGCTTGGTTGTAGATGTTCGGGCAGTAGATCATGAGGTGCGCGTTGGCGTGGTCCTCGTTGTGCACAATGTAGTCATCAGGGATCATGCCCAATATGTTCTTTGCTAATCTGTGCGTGAGTCGTGGCTCTCGTTGAAGTTGTAGTCTGTGTTGCTTCCACTCCTGCTCAAAGAAGTCGTCAAAGTCGTCGAGGATGCGTTGATCTCGAGGAAATTGGTGGTGCTTGAGCCATCGCTGAAATTGTTCTTGGTGCTGCTTCTTGATACGCTTCTTGGAGGAGTAGAAGGCGTTCCCGGCCCCAATGTTCTGAAAGATCTGGTTTGTGCTGTGTAGTTGTAAGGTTTCTAAGCCCGTCACCACATGTCCTTCGTGTACTTGTGCTCGCGGATGTTGCTTGATGAATTGGGCACACTGACATTCTGTAGGCTTCCAGTGTCTGCCCATATCGGTGACTTTCCGCTTGTGGTTCCACAGAGCTCGCTCGAGAGAGGGGTGCGTTGCCTCCTGGACCGTCTTGGTTGGTAGATGATATGGTATAAGCACATGTCTGTGTGTCCTGCTGAGTCGCACCAGGTACTTTTCGAGGTTAGTGCGGTGCGACGTATGTGCAAGTAGAGGGACTTTCAGGGGCTTGTTGTGCTTTGGGATCGATGCGTTCTTGAACTGCAGGACTTTTCGTAGTCTGGCTCGTGCTTTTGATCTCCATGGTTGCTCCATGTGGTTGGCGAGTCTGTAGAGCAGGGTAACTGTTTCGGAGTCATGTTTGCCACTGCGTAGCTCCTTGGAGGCCTCAAATTCTTGCTTGGTGTCGCTTGAGATAGCGTACAAGAGCTTCCAGAATTGCGCCTGCTTGGGGAGCGCATTCACAAGCGAGGATCTCTGTCCTTGTACTCTTCGTCGGAGTTTTTTGAAAAGCTGTCTTCCTAGAGAATCTGGTGGGTGGCGAAGATGTGGTTGTTGATGTTTAGGGACCAAACCATGCGCCTTCTTGACCAGCTCCTTCGTGACAAACGGGTAGTTCAGCTTGGGCTGCCATCTCTGAATCAGGCTGTGTTCTTCGGCCCAGGCGTCAATATACTCCGAGTGCTGCGAAAGGAGGATGGTGCTGTAGTGCTGGTAGGTCTGGGAGTCGTTCCAATAACGAATGGCGATCTCGATTTTGGGAAGTTTGAGTTGTTGTAGTTGACGAAGTTTTGCGACTCTGTTGTACTCTCTCTTGGCCACCGTGATGTTGGTGGATCCGATGTAGCAAAATGATGCGTCCCTGGTAGCAGTCGCATAGGTTTGCTTGTTGAGCCTGGGGAATGCAAGTTTGACGTACACTGCACAGGGCTGAGAGAATTTCTCGAACGTGTAGAGTTCTGGAACCGCACCTTTTTCTCGGAGTCGCTCTTTTAGTTGCTCTGCTGCAGGCGATTGCCGCATTCTATGAAAAGTGAATACAAGATGAATAAGTCCAACTAACCACATCAAAACTTCTTTATTAATAGCAGGAACATGAAAAAGCAAAAACTGCCCCCAGTCTACTATCTGTTGCAGCTGCTGGAAGATGCTGGCACTTTCTTGATGTGCTAGGGGTCCTCTCAGGATTTTCTGCACGTGTCACACGGCGAGGTAGGTGACGGCGGCGATCAGCTGCTGAAGGTTTTTGGGTGAAGCCTTTGGCGCTGTAGTGAGGGACATGGGAAGTCCCCATCTCGTAGCCATCTCCTGTAGTTCGGCCTTGGTGTATTTGGCTCCTTCGAGGATGGTCTGCACGGACTGTATGTGATTATCCACTTCCGCATGCTTGTCTCGGGGGAGACTCTTCTTGAGGTTGGTGATCCAAGTTGCAATTGATGTCATACTTGTCGGAGGCTCTTGTCCACTGGCACGGATCACATTGTGGGGCTCGGCGAGGATGTCCTCATTGCGCTGCTTGATGGCTCCCTTTGTGAGGCGTCTGCGCTTTGGTGGTGCCGCCGTTGCTTCTGGGCCTTCATTTGGCTCATTTTGCAGTGGGAGGGACTTTTGAGGGGTGACGTCGATGCCGGCACTGCGTAGGCGTTGTTTGTACTTGGCGGTCTGCTCTTCCAAGACTTGCATGCGTTGTGCTGCTTGGTTGTCGCCCTCGGTGTTCTTGGCGCCGTAGTTGCGCACCTGTGCCCAAGGTTTGATGGCATCCATGATGGTGTCGACGAGGGGTGCAACAAAGGTGATGGCCTCTTTCACCTTGTCAGGGGCTTTTTGTCCTTTGCTTTGGTGGATGGCGTCGATGGTGGCATCCACGTCGATGTTGTTCTCGCGGAGCTTCTTCTGGAGCTGGGAGAGGAGGACGCTCTCGGCGATGTTGCGGGTCAGAATCATGCCGGTGAACTTGCCGTGGGAAAGTCCTCGAAGTCCAAATTCCTCCATGCCATGCCTGCAAAAATGCGCAACTGTGACATCACGGACGTCCATGCCTGCAAGTCCTTTGGCACGGCTCCAAGCTGTTGGCTCTATTGTCCTCTTCAAGGTTGCTTTGAATACAAGGTTCGTATCATAGTGGTCTGGGTCCTCTGAAAACTGACTGGGAAGTGGTACCCGTGCCGTGGTTGCCGATGTCGTCGGTGTACTTGTTGCATTGGCTGGCTCCGGCTGTGTGTTGCACGGTGGCGGCGGCGGCGGCAAAGGTTGCGTAGCCGGGCTGGATGCGGGCGGAGGCATAGGTGGCCACGACGGCAACGGTGTTGTCGCTGGCAAGGGTGCCGGAGTTGGTGTGCTCGATGCGCTCCCGCTGCCTGACGCCCACCACGGCATATTCGATGCTCCCTGAGACCAATATCCGGTCCATGCATTCGCCATTGTGTATGGGGGTATCTAACAATTGGGGCACTGTCTGAACACTCAAGGCAAAGGAATTTAAGGAAATGTAAAGGCACAACAAAAGTCCAAAAATCTTGCAGCATCATAAGAATCAGCGGAGCTCATGTGTGTCTTTTACTGCGAAGAATGCTGTTTGGGGCGTCGCAGTCGGTGTCGGCACTGAGCCATTAGAAGATTTGCAGTCCTTGCCGAAGGGGATGTCCAGGAGGAGCTTTCGTGGTGCTGTCGTGGATGCTCTTTTAGATGAGCGAAAGTCTGGCTCTTCCTTGGGGAGTGATGCCTGCAGCTCTCTGGTACTGCGAGATGAGCGTATTGGCTGTTGAAGGCGGTGTCATCAGCTGCTCGAACGCAATGCATGTGAAGCAATATCTGTTGCGAGATACGCAATAAGCTTTTGCATTCGCATCCTTGAGCACTTCGTCCTCTTCAGTGGCTGCCCGAGCTGTTTCATAGGATCCGCCAAGATGCTTGCGAAGTGATCCCCATGCACGCCCCCCCACGACGATGCCTGCCAGGTTCTTGGCGCTCCGTGTGGTGTTGAAGATCACCCTGGTCAGGTTGTGTTCGTCGATGTCTGATCCGGACATCTCGTGGCCGAGGGCATAGAAGATGTTGCATCCAAAGGCTGCCACTCCATGCGCGTTCATCGGACGCATATTTCGCTCTTTCAACATGTTGAATAACGCTCCCACATCTGTTGCATGCGACCAGAATAGGATCTTTTCTTGCCGAGTTGGTAGAGGAGGATTTTGCAGGGTGAGGTCTGAAGATTGCAAGAAATAGAATCTTCTCATTGTCTCTGGAGTTGGGTCGCCTCCTCTGTCCCACGTGAGGTCATGCTCCAAGAGAACTCCCTGGTCGATCCTGAACTCCGCTGCAGCGCAAAGTGCATCCACGTACTGCTTGGTGGAATCGTGTATGGGAAACTGTGGAATCTCAATGTCCTTCCAGTTGACCTTGAACTGCCTAAGGTTCTTGTGGAATGTAATAGTTGAAGGCATCCGCGGAGTTTCATACAGCTTGAGGTCGATCTTGGGTCGCTGCGACTGTGTCTTTGGTGTTGCCAAAGTACCTGTGTTGCTGAGGCCCGATGCCCTGGATCTCTGCGTTGTCCTGGGGGAATGAGATCTGGATGTTGTCCTGGGAGCGTACGATCTGGATGTTGTCCTGGGAGCGCGAGATCTGGATCTTGTCATGGGAGTGCGCGATCTGGATCTTAATATCGCCCGCGGTCTGGTGGTCCTTGAGTCGCTAGGGCTCCTTCGTGAGGGACTCCGTCTTGGAGATCTGGAGTCCATGGCTCTCTTTTTGACCAGCAGCGGTCTGGCGGGTCTTGTGCTTGCCGTTGTTTGTAATGGCACCGGTGGTAGCGCGGGCAATCCCGACGAAGATGACGGCTTTGGCGTAGGCGGGGCTTCTCCTGCTCCAAGTTGGTCGCTTCGCTGAAAGTAGGGGCGGGGGGACATAGTGCGTCCCTCATGCTTGCGGAACGCCGAGAATGGCTGAGCTTTTCGCTTTGCCTTTGCACCAGATCCAACTGCACTCTGCTCGGTATCCTCGGCTGTGGAGTCCTGCGTTGTTCCGTGTGGGTTCGCCGCCTGCAGTGCCTGGAGCTCCTGTTGACTGAATAATAAGCTCGGGGATCTCCTTGTGGCAGCCGTCGTTGTACGGGCTTCTTTGCGAATTCTTTTCAATGGCGGTCTATCTTGATCTGAGGTTGGAGGTGCCGCTGTCGTTGAGGATGCTGCTCCTCCACTTAATGCTGCAAACGCCTGCAGTAAGTCTTCGGGCTGCGCATTCTTGATCTGGATGTTAATCTCCATGGCAGTGGGGCGCAGCTGCTAAGGACTACTTACTAGAAACAAAACCGACCGTAACCAAAAGGAAACGAAACGAACCAAGACAAAACAAACCAAAAACTGCTTAAAGACGAGGGTCATGCACTGCACTTCTACAAGTAAATTATACAAAAAGCTTAGCATGGACATGTGTGCACTTCAAGCGTATTTCAAGACATTGAGACTTCAAGCTGATTGCGCTGGTCCTCTTGATCAGCATGTGCTTTCCGGATTCAAGACATTGCCTTGCAGTCTGTTGATGTTTGAGGTCTCTTAGGAACCTAGCCAAGGATCACGCGTCCCACTCGGGGCACTGTTTCAAGGGATACTGCCTCGAGAGCAGCGGTAATGGCGCCGTGACGGATAAGGCCATGCCCGATTCACACTTGAACACCCAGTCTCGCTGGTTGCATGTTCACTCATGGTCAATTCCGACTCATCAGCGAGTTCAATGACTCCGATGAGAGAACTTCAAAGAAAGCGTTGCCGGTGGGGCTTCAATAGGCTCTGGTTTCCTTGCTGATGTTTACTAAAGAAGAAACAGCCAAGGGTCTTGAAGCATTGCACAGCGAGTATGTGAAGAATGTAGCATTGCACGGCTTGTACTGCAAAGGATGTCACAAACACACTGGCAGGTACGTGGATTGAGCGTCCTCAATCCATTTCACGACAAACTGGAAAGGTCTTCGTTGGACAGTGCCTTCCAGAATGTCCACTGTCCCCCTGCACGATCACTCTCTAGGTCTCAACCTGTGCACTGTCCCGTAGTAGTTTGGGTTCCCCACACACACACACACACACCAAAGCTGTGTCCATCACTCTATTCCTAGATGCAAAACGCAACCCTGACTCCTGATTCCTGATCGGTACCCGCTGGCCCCGGCCCACAATCAATCCTGTGCTCCAACGATAAGTGAATGCAACACGTAGAGGCAACGATAATTCCAGGAAGTTCTTAAGTTTGGAGCCCCGCACCCTTCCTGCCCCGGTCCTGATACCTGACCCGAAACCCTACTTGGAGGTTCATGGGTAGTTATAAGTGGGGTTACAAGTAGGGTAACTATAGTTGTAACTCCTTTTCGGGGACTTATAAGCCCATTTATAACTTCCCATGAACCTCCAAGTACGGTACAGCGTGCGGGATTGTGATCACAGGAACCCTTCACGATGCCCGATTTAAGGAGGAGCTTCGTAACTCTGCCACCAAACGGCAGAAGCCCCACATGAGCCCCGAGCCCTAAACCCCCACGCCCTAAACCCGCATGAACTAAGCGCGAAACCCTCAGCCGCCTAGGAAGACGGCCGCAACTCTTGCAAGCACTTTTCAGCCCCCAGAAGACAGAGCCGAGAAGAAACGGGAGCGAGGGCTTGAATTGAGGGATTTCTGCGCTGACGACAGAAGAGTTTGGGTTGAGTCTAAAAAAGTCTTCGGGATGTTGGGTTGACGGTGCCAGGCTCTTAGGGTCTAGGGTTTAGGTGTAGTACGTGCATTCAGGGCTGTGGGGCTCAAGATTTTGATTCTTGTGCTTGTTCATGATTACTTGGAGGTTCATGGGCAGTTATAGTGGGGTCATAAGTAGGGTGATTATAATTACAACCCCTATTAGGGGACTAAGAGCCCCACGTATAACTACCCATGAACCTCCAAGTAGGCTACATCTGAAGCTCGTAAACCCTCGATTCCGGACTGAAAGCCCTAGGCCCTAGGCCCAAGACTCCGAGGGCTCCAAATATATAATGTATGATACATAGTTTATAGTACTTCATATGTAGCATACTATATGGTGAAATAAGAGAAGGTATATAGAGAGCGAGAATATATAACATGTAATATGTGAGATAAGTCAACCTCCAAACCCCAAGCCCAGAGCTTTCGGGGTTCAGGCATCCTAACCCTAAACACTTCGTTTCACTCGCTCTCTTTTTGATTTATATCGCATTTCGATGGCAGCCTGTACCACAACTACGGCTTTAGTCTGTTAGGACCTAGAGTCAATCAAGCCTACGATTTCTCCCCAGCTGAAAATCGGGGTTACAGAACCTGGCTCAGGGCCTTTGCTTGGGAATACGGGCTGATCATCTTAGGATGTCGAAATTCTGCTTACAGCAGGACTCAGAAGAAACAGAATAAAGACCTGAAGCGCGTAACACTACAACCAAATGCTGTGCGGCCTGTGCCGGAAAGGAATGTTTAGGATAGGTGTGCATATATATATATATATATATATAAACCCTGCGATTTCTTGAGTTGGGCCTCCGGGACTTTTAACTGACCCCAGAAACCTCTACAAAGTGAAGCCACGCTAAGCCCTGCAAAATCCCCTAGCCAAAAGCTCCAAACATGTAACCCTAACAAAATCAATCTAAACCAGACAAAACCCTACCTGAACCAAGAAACCGTAAGCACAGACACACCTTACCCCCACAATCCTCTCTTCCGGTTGACGACCTACGGTCTTAGGAGCATAATGTAGGAACCTGATTAAGAAACCTTGGGCCTTTATTAGGGCTCCTTATGTGAATCGTGCTATTTTGGTTTTTGGCCGAGGATTTCTTAATCAGGTTCCTACATTAGCACTGCTATGCCTGTATTATTATTAAAATACATTATAAGTACTACTAGTAATAATAATAAGTATTATTTGGAAGTGCCGTCCTCCAAAGCTTCGGTCAAGAAGGCCCGGAGGTCAGTCCTTCACAAAACGGGTTCAGGGTGTCACTTGAAGGTTCTACGGTTTAGGGTTTTAGGGTCTAGGCTCCTACGTCAAGGGCCGAGCCGGGGTCGGGGATTGGGTTTGGAGTTGGAGAGGGCAGTCTTTCAAGGTCCATATGGGAGGTTGTCAAAATTAGGATCCCTTTTTGGGTCCTACGGCACCTAATAGTTAGGGTACCCAAAAAGGCGCGCTAGGTTTGACTACTACCCATGTGTTTGAGGGGTTAGGGCTCACAAACCCCTGGCCGCCGGATGTTGAAGGGGCTCTTGAAAAAAAGAGGGAAGCGAGTTGAATGCAAGGGAACTTCAGGATCCAAGAACTTAGTCATCAGCATTGGTTACACCAAGGCGGACGATGAGAATGACACTCATCCTCAGCCACATCATTGCAGATGCCTTCCATCATCGTCTCATCATCATCATCATCATATTCACCATCATCATTACTACCATCTTCTTCTTCAAGTACATCATCATCATCATCATCACCATCGCCACCATCAGCATCATGTTCATCATCATATGCAGCAGCATCATCAGCATCACCATCTTCCTCTTCATCACCATCATCCATCATCTTCATCATCAACATCAGCATCATGCGCGTCATCTTCATCCTCACCGGCATCATTCTCAACCTCACCACATTACCACTGTCGAGAGTGCAGCAGCGACATTCGTCCGAAAGATCCTAAGGTCCTAAACCAAGACCTGTGCAGTTGTTCACGCGCTCCTTCCATAGGACGGCGTTAACTCCTGTCCGGCCCACGAGAACGGGTGTCTTGCCTGCCTGCCTGTCTGCCTGCCTGCCTGCCTGGCTTTCTGTCTGTGCGCCTGCACGCCGTCATGCATGTATGTACGTATGTATGTTTGCAGGTAGGTCGGCCATCAGTGCTTCTCGTGTCTGTTATGCTCCGTCGAACAAAATATTGGCACTGACAAAGATGATGGTGGGCGACATTGGTGGTGACTCTCGTGATTACTGCAAGGTAGCTGACGATAGCTACGATGACTTGCAAGGATGACGACCAAGCTGATTATGGCGCTAGCGACGAATTAAAGTTGTTCTGACTCTGTTATGCCGTGGGTCAAGCTTGTGATTTTGTTTGCTCTTCGTCCCACCAAGTGCAACGACGACCTCCACCATAAACCGCACCACTCGAAGCCCTGAGCCCGAAACCCTAAACCCCATCCCAAACTCTAACCCCCAAACCCAAAAGCCCCTAAACCTCAAACCCCCAAACCCCGACCCTGAACCCTGGACCCTAAACCATGTGGGCTCCTCGCTGTACTTGCCCGTGGCCGGGTCAAGGACCTTTGCTGGGGGAAAATCCTTTAGGGGCCTTAGGGTGTCGGTGTACGGTTGTAGGAATTTAGGGAGTTTTTTGTTGTGGGGGGGAGGGGGGGGGGTGGGGATTTGGGCTTACTTGGAGGGTCGGGGGACTTAGTAAGTAGGTAGTAAGTAGACTTATAAGTACCCTAAAAGGAACCCTAATTGGGGTTATGGTGCTTATAAGTCCCTAAAATAACCAGTTACTAAGTCCCCCGACCCTCCAAGTAGGCTCATATATAGGGCTGGGTTAGGCTTTCACCAGGAACTTCGGCAACGCGGAGGCAATTTCTGAAAATGAAGAACCTGATCCAAACACCCTAAACTGAAGCCTCCATGGGTGGTTGGCAAAATTAGGGCCCCTTTTTGGGTACGCTAAACCATAGGTGCCGTATTGTATTAGGGACCCAAAAAGGGACCATAGTCTTGACAACCACCCCCATGAGCCCTTTGAGGTTGCTCTGTCCCAGCAGCCAGCATGCTCTGCTCCGCATAGTAGCGGCCGATCCGCCCGTATTCTGCAAGGTCCGACCTCTCTTCGGTGCGGTGAAGGCTCAAGGCTTTGAGACATGAGTGCTTGAGGGTTCTACTGGGAGGTTCAAGGGTAGTTATAAGTGGGGTCATAAGTCGGGTAACTTTCCTTAGCACTCCTACTAGGTGACTTATAACCCTACTTATAACTACCCATGAACCTCCAAGTAGGGTTCAGGAGTGAATGTTTAAGACCTGCCTAGCACAACGATAGAATGTGACGGTGGAGGGGTTACTGTTTGCCGAACGCGTACAGAGATTCTGTGCAACAGGCACTCATAAGTCATGATCGTAAACCCTTTCATACTTGGAAAGGGTAGCGTTAATCTAGCAACAGTAAAACAGCAAAAAACAAGCCCGAATAGTAGCGAACACACTGCCATAGCTGCACAAATAACCAGAGCAAAGACAGTAGCAGCAATTAATAGTTGAAAAGTCATGGTAGAGAGCAAAAACTAAATATTGGCAGTAGTAGTAATGCACTAGGCATACGGACCTGCCCTGCATTGGCATTGACAGCACTAGTCAAAGGCCGAACCTGCAGCCCCAACTTCCCAGACGGAAGCGTCCCCAAACCTAGCAACACCCCCTCAAGCTTTGATCTTCCACTCTTGAAACGAATTCGGAAGATATCAAAAGACCCGCAACACTAGAGACCCTACATCCCTTGAGTTACAGATAGTTTACTTACACCATGAGCTTTGTAACCCTCAGCCTGAAACCCCAAAGCCCTGAACCACCGGGACCGAAACCCGATCTAACACGCTAGGTCTCAGGTTCCCCGCTGGGATGGAAAGAGTCCGGCAATGAAGTCCAGAATCTCAGCTGGTTTGGGCTTATTAGGGTTTAGTTTAGGGTTCAGGGTTCAGGGTTTAGGGTTTAGGGTTTAGGGTTTAGGGTTTAGGGTTTAGGGTTCAGGGTTTAGGGTCTAGGGTTTTTCGGGTTTCTCCGGCCTCTTGGACGTCGGAACTCGGCTTGCAGCTTTCGGGCTATTCGGATTTGGCAAGGCGCGAGTTCAACTGCGCATCAGAGCCACATGCCAGGCCCCTCGGTTTGGTTTGATGCCTGCTGTTCAGGGTTTAGGGTTTAGGCCTCTTTCGTTGAGTTCAGGCTTTAGGGTTTAGAGTTTAGATCGGAAGTACAACAAGGCTGTTGAGGCCTATGTCGCTGTAACTCTGCAGGCCTGCTTCTTCCTCAGCATGGTCCTGGTCGCCACTACCTTGTTCATCACCATATTCATCACCTTCGCTGCCCGTCAACGTCATGACCTTTGTGGATTAGGGCATCGCTCCACAGCCTGCTTGCGAGCTTCGCCTGTGGGAAAGTTGCTGGCCTTTTCGGCTTCCCTCAAAGATACAGCGCCCGAGAAGTCAAAGGGTAGTTGCGAAGCAGCGAGGACAGGTCCGAATCAGGGGGCGAGAAATCACTCAGAGATCGAGATGCCTGCAAACCCCGGAGCCTAAAGAGCGTCACACGGCTTGAACAGTCTGCAAAGGCCCCGGCACCCTGCACGAAGTCGAAGACCCCATAGGGCACACAGATGAAGTTCGGCTCCTGCCTGTGGGATGCTCAGCGGACCCAGCGTAATAGACTACATTTGTGTCGCAGGTCGAAGAGGTTCGTATGATGATGTACTACGGATATACCGACACTGGGCCCATTGAAAACGAGTGCCAATGATGCAAGATCCGATGTGGCGTAGTGAGGGCTCTTTGGGGCTACAACGTTCTCTCCAGTACACGTCCTGAGGGCATAAGCTGAATCTCCGTCCTTCCTCCGTGGCAGCTGCCACGAAGGATTTGCGAGACTCCATTCTTAGAAACCTATATTATATAGGTTTCCTTATTAATTTGTATTTTTACTAGGGCCGCTATATATTATATAGCGGCCCTAGTAAAAATACAAATTAATAATAATTAGAATAATTGGAATAATTAGAATAATAATAACAATAATAACAATAACAATAACAATAACACTAATGATAATAATACTAATACCAAAATAATAATAATAATAATAATAATAATAATAATAATAATAGTAATGATAATAAATTAGAATAGGCCCCATTATACTATAGCTTCGGATGTGGTCTGGTGCGACTTCTTTGACAACTCGCGATTGGCTTAAGGATACTTTCCCCTGCCAGGGCTTTAAGGTGTGGCGTAAGTGAGACTTGGAGCTTGGGTGGGGAATTGTCCAGAACTTTGTCCGAAACCCTTAGCACAAAATGCCCTGTTCGATGATCCGGCTTTGGAAATCCCGGAGCCCCAGCTGAGCAGCCTCATTGGCCCTGCCAGTCATTCTGGCCACCACCATTATGGACGTGAGTGCTCGTTCTACTGCTTCAAGAATTATACGGAGTCCTTCTTCTTCAGCATCATCCTCATCACCACCACTGTCGTAGCAGCAGCAGCAGCAGCAGTAGTATTCATGGCAGTAGCAGCCGCAGTCGCCCCGTCAGCAGCATCAGCAGCAGCAGCAGTACTTGTAGCAGCTGTAGTAGAGTAATGGAAAACCCAGAGTCTTGGGCCCCGGGCTTCACGAGGCTAAAGAGCAGCTCGCCCTGCTCTTTGAAGGACAGGGCGGGACCTTCCGGACTTCGTGGATAAGGGCTTATCCGGTTTAGGGTTTATAGGGTTTAGGGTTTAGGTTTTAGGGTTTAGGGTTTAGGGCTTTAGTGAAAAGGGCTTGGAGAACTTGGGCACAAGGAGTTAGGGATTTCGGGTTTTCGGACTCGGGATTGTGGAAGGAGGACTTGAGCCTTGTTGGGTTTGCACTGCGCAATCAAAAGCCTGAGGGCTTGCAGGGCTCTGGCTAAGGCTCTTCTGGAGCATGTTGGAGAGAAGCTTCGGTGCTTCTGGTATTCTGAAGGGTTGTGGGAAGCGGCTTGCGATTTACGTATTTTTGAGCAGGGGTCGGAAATGATGGGGTTTGGGGGTGTAGGAGTCAGCGCCTCGAAGCAGCATTGCTGGCTTAGGAGCCTCATGGTTACGTCTCAATGGGTATGTGAACACGCGGAGTTGACAATGTTCTACAAAGGCGCATGCGAGACAAAACAAACATCTTCCTGCTTCTTGCAAGAGCAATGAGACAGACTGCTGCCACGGGCGTCTCATGACAACTGCTCTCGTCATAAGAATGCTGAGACAATCAGCATGAACGGTCGTTATCCCCATTCGGACAAGGAAACTATTTTCCTGGCGAATCAGTTTGCCTTGGCTTGAATGGCTCGAGGCTGCGCCTGTCGCTGCGAAGGTGGCGCCTGTACATGAGGCCTCCATAGCGCTGTGGGACTCTGTAATGTGCCCTCAGTCAGCTCTGTTGAATGGGCCCTGGATGAACTGGAACAGTTACACCAAAAGTCTGTCTCTAAAGTCTTTTTGCATCCCCGAGAACTCTACAGCGGGAGCTTCACAAAGACTGGCCATCAAAATCAGAAGCAGCCGGAGCAGCCAGAAGTGTACTGCCAGGAGAGCATTGGGACCCACTGGCACCAGCTTGCACAGTCGCCGCTGTACGGCCCGACTGGCACCCCGACCGGCTGCCCACCACAGCGCTCGCAAGAAGCGACGTACTGCCACGAAGGGCTTGGAACCCACTGGCACCAACTCGCACAGTAGGGGCCATAGTACACAGCGACGTCCGAGCCACGGTAGCCGCGGCAATCGGGCACATACTGCAAGCTTCCCCACGGAATCGTCCTGCACCAGCTCGGGTAGCCGACGAAAGACTTCAGAGATTTGCCCCTCAGGCTGGTTGGTGCACTCTCTGGCTTCGGCTCTCCGATCGTTGCAGTCTCGGAAGTGTTCGCCGGCTCGGTGCCGTTGTCCACTGTGGCATTCGCAGGTGAATCTGTGCTGGACACGCAATGGTGGCAGACCTCGATGCTGTTCCATGTCGGCCCTGGCACCCACAGGCACCAATCGA